GAGGCGGCTTTGGAGCTTTAACCTTCGGCGCAGGGGCTGCCGGAGTCTGCTGGTCAGCAGATTTATCCTTCTTGCTCTTCTTATTCTTCTTCTTGGGCTTGTCTTCGCTGCTTGCTGCAGGCATGGCATTATTCCCCTGGGACATGACGGCTGGCTTGATTTGAAGACTTTTGTCAAACTCATCCCTGTTCCGCTTGTCCTGATGGAGCTCCAAGGCTAGATCAACCTTGGACCACAACCATTCCGGCTTCCTACGGTGGCTGCCGATAGGGGCTTCCCGTGCCTTTTCTACCTTAAACTTCAGCGCGGTGCACTTTTCCAGCTCATCCAACAGGTGATCAAACAAGGCTGTTTCCCTGGGTTGTTCTGCCACGGGGATTGCGGTCAGCAGGTAAACGTACTTCTCCCGAAAGGCATCCAAGTCAGCAAGGGACGGGCCTGCAAGAGACAACTTCAACAAGTTACGGCCTCCTAAGGTTCCGATCCTACCTCGTTCCAACTGAAAGTGCTTGAAGATGGCACGCAACATGATTCTCCCTACGGGCATCCCACCTGACGAGATTCTCTCTTGTTCAACCATGCTTTGAAACAAGAGCCCGAACTTACCTTTGCGGCAGGTTTTAAGGAGCTTTGCGGCTACTTCACGATCTAACCGTGGGAAACGCTTGTCCGCGATGAGTTCTTGCTCGGTGGAGGACATGCATGCTTGGGTGGTAAACTTCATCTCCGGGGGTCTTCTGGAGTCGACCGATGGCCATCAAAACTTGGTTGACGAAACCTCTAGCCTGTCCAGCGTTCTCCGGGGGGGATGGTAGCACAAGATCCTTGAGATCCTTGACGCGGACAACGGACTCCTCATATGCGGCGTGATCTACGGCGGTCATGCCTACACTGGGATCGGCAGCTTGGGACGGGTCTGCATTAGGGAACTGGCCAGAGCCTCCCCCACCTCCCCCACCACCATTCATGGTGGGTGATGGGCAATCCGTGTCTTCATGGCTGCCGCCGCAAACTCGACATTGTGGGGTATCATCATCTCCATCGGAGTCTGATGATGAGTCGGAGCTAGCGGAGAATGGCGCTTGTGGGGATGACGAGTACAACCCTCCCAACATTGTGATTGGAACTGGCGGAACACGAGTGCCGTCGCCAGCTTTTGGCGGAGGCGGCGCCCCTGCGAGGGGCGTGGGAGGCACTGGAGGTGGTGCGGCCGGAGGCGGAGGTGGCGGAGCCACTTGATTAGCAACCAATTGGGAAAGCTGCTGAACCATTTCCGCTAAAGCCGTCACTTGCACTCTCACATCGGCTTGATCCCTTGTACCGTCTCTACCCAACCCGCTAGTCCTCGACGCGCCGGGGGCTGCGTCTCCAACAGAGGACGCTGCTCCTAGCACTGCCGAATGGCCTGCGAGATGTTGACTTGTTGCACCCCCACCAGGGTCCCTTGAATCAGCTGGGGCATCGTGACCAAGTCCTGAACTTTGAACAGAACCACACGGAGGGTCGGGGATAGTACTTGTAAAAGCATTCCCTTGCGACGATGCGGCAACACCGGAGGCATCTTGTGAATCTGAAACCTGAGGCGCTCCAACCGGCTGATGGGTTCCTGGGGGAACTGTGCCCTGACTTGAGGCTTTAGCCGCGCTTGTTTCCGTAGCTGTTTCGGCTATTGATGCGGCTTTTGGCGGGGACTCTTGAATCGGAACAGGGGTCGCGCGAGCTTGTTGGGTGAGGTGTGCAACAACACGTTCGAGATCACCAAGTCGTTGATGCATCACGGAATTTTCCTGGGACAATCCACGAATGGTATGCTCTTGGCTGGCAATGGTTTGTTCTCTTTGCGAGATTGCCTGTTGAGCCTCCTGAACAATGCGTTGAACCTCTTGCTGAGCGTCCTGTTGAGTGGCATTAACAACCTGTCGTGCGTTCTCGACATGGCCAATGGCTTCCTGTCGTGTCTGCTCGATTAGGTGCCTAGCCTGAGCCTCACTATGTTGTGCTGTTTGTACAGCCTGCTGGGCTTGCGAAGCTAGCTGAGCGGCCTGAACCCTAACATCTGACACTTCTCTTACAGCCCTTTCCCTGATTCATCCGGCCTCTTGTCTCGCCTGGTCGGCGGCCTGCTGTTGGTGCAAGGCGTGATTGGCTGCCTGAGCAGCGAGGTCGGATGCTCGATGAGCTTGCTGCACCGCAGCTCCAGCAATAAATCATCGGGTCAGGTAATTGCGATCCCTGTGCAGGAAACTGAATGGCTGGGGAAGCTTCGGATGATGTAGGTTCTGACACGATCGGACCACTTGGGGCTGATGATGGTCGTGTTTGGGCTGCTCGTTGAGGTGTGGATGTGCGAACTGTGGACATAGCTGCAGGAACCATGGCTAAGTCGGGGTCATCCGGTTCAGAATCCCTGTTTGGGGTTGACCTTGAACGGGGTTCCGAGGGCGGTGATAAGCCCGTTGAAGCCATGACACAGCAATGCAATTTTGCACTCACACGAAGCTAGCTCCACGCGCTTTGAGCAGCGTGTCAAAAGGTGCTACGAGGAGATATCCCTGGATTGGCAGCTGGTTGCGAAACGCTCAAGTGAGCCACTCAAGAAAATACGCCCTGCTGTTTTGCACCTGATGAATTCTGTATTTGTAATTGTACTTGTAGATTGATTGATCCGCACTGCCGCACTATGGTGCTTTATCGAAGGATGTTGCCAAGCTGTATTGAGAATAGTCTGCAAATCGAATGCCTGTAGCTGCAAAGATGCTGTACCGCGCAAAGCGACGGTTTTAACGGCTTGCAAAGAAAGGCTATCGAAGTACCCGGCTGGCGGGCAACTGGGATGCAGACCGATGGAGCTCCTCGAGGTACTGCGAAGGGTGCAGGCCCCTCGCCGCCGGAATGAAAAGTCGATTCCGGGACTCGATGTACTCCCCAACGTTCTCAAGCGCGTTGGCAAATCCGCTCGGCCCAAAATGTGGGAAGTTGCGGAACGCTGCGATGCCTGTCTTCTGCGCTTCACGGACAATCGCAGCTTGATCGTCGATGAGGACGTGGGCACCTAGCCCCAAGAGAGCGTCTGCTTTGCCGGCCCTGCCAAACCTTTCGTGTACGATTTTTATCGCAGAGAAAGTGAGTCCAGATGTCGCCCGCGCGTGCTCCAGGGCGACCTGGAACTCGCGGCGGCGATACTCGCTTGCAGCCCTGCCCACGAAGGATAGCACCACAAAATTGGTAGGTGCGTAGTCGGCTGCAAATTGAACGAGATGCCGGATCACCTCCGGGTTGAGGTGGGGTCCCTGCTGCCCAACGTCAAGAACTCCGTGCCAGTCAAGAGCGATGGTGAGCTCCTTGGGCGGCACTGGCCTTGCAGGCGGCGGGGGTGGCGCAGGCGGCGGCCTTCTTGGTGGCGATCGAAAGCGTGTGCCAGCCTCGGAAGTTGCAGCGCTTGCAGCAGCTGCTTTAACGACCTGCGGCGGTGGCGGCTTGACGATGTACCCTTGTGGTGGGTTTGAGCCCATTTGCTTCTGGGTTCGGCCTTGTTCAAACCTCGCGGAGGCGCCTTGTACCCGAATGCACTCTGAGTCCGAATAGGAGACCTTGCTCGAGGCGGTGATTTCCTTGGAATATCTGCTTTTGCCGGTGCCGAAGAAGCTGCACGAGGAAGTTCCTTGGGCAATGGAGGCTTGCTGCCAAAAATGACCTTTGGTGCGGCCTTTGGTGGCGGCGGTTGAATTGCTCCAACCCTCCGGCTATGCAAAGCAATAGGCTCAGTGTGAGTCGGTGCCTCGTGTACGCGCCGAGGCACGCTGACCTGCCAGTTCTGATGGATTCCGCGTCCTGCGGAGGCTCCTCTTCTGAGCTGTAGGCGTCGAGGCGATAGTGCTCCGCTGGTCCTGGGCGTCGATCTGGAGATCGTGATCGCGAGCTTGTGGATGATCTTCTTGGGGGATCTCTCCACGTCTCGTCCGCAAGCGAATACGGGTCAGCCTGACGGAGATGTCCGGATGTCCGCTGTGCTCGGCGGTGAGATGTCGCCTCACGTGGCTGTGAAGCCTCCCGAACGAGTACCCAAGTGCCGTGCTCGTCAAATCGTGTCACAGGGTATATACTGTTCTGTGGAGCCAATACGATGGGCCGTGTGGCAAGGGAAGTCCTGGATGGCCTGCCCTCACGCGCAAGCGCGGGTTCAACACTGTGTGCCCGATGTTCCACAGGGGTAGCAGCAGTCGGTCCTCGTCTCGGAGGCGATGGAGACCTCGACCTTCGTGGCGATGGGGGCCTCGATCTTTGTGGCGACCGTTCCCTGCTGCTCTCCCTCCGCGTTTCCGCAGCTCTAGCGTATACCCCTCGAAGTGCTGTCTTGGCGGCACCTCGCAACACTTGTCTTTCCTCTGCTGATGGTCGGATACCGTGACTGCGACCTCTCCCCTAATCTTGTGGGTAGCGCGTGCAACGCGCTCCTTTCAGCACTTGAGCCAAATCACATGCGGGCATGTCACCTGGGTCCTTGTCATGTTTGTACATCATGCAACTTGTTGTACCTCTGGGCCATAAATGTCATCGTGATAATTGACTTGCCCACCATGGTTTGCCCACCATGGTTTGCCCACCATGGTTTGCAACGCAATTTCCACTACAGCAACTTGAGCATGGAACAGGATCACCTGAAAACAGGGACCAACCAACACACCAAACTTCCTGAGCACAGATGGGTTTGCATGACAAACCATAGTGATCATCGTACATTTCTACGATTTCTACGTTTGTCAGGTGCGAGGCTGGCGGAACAATGATTCCAACTTGCATTGGATGACAATACAAGACTACAGCGCAACAAAGGATTCAACAGCACACTGGAGAGAAGAGGTGGGCCGTTCTTCCCGACAGTGGAAAACAACACCCGCCCTGATACACTTCACAGATTCACGCTTCAGGCCCCTGTTTAACTCTATATGCGTGCGCAAAAAACACAAAATTTATTGATATACCTATTGCGTGCAAGCTTCCGCCATCTCATCATCCACAAACTCGAACTCGGCTTCCGGCGCCCGTGCCGGCAACGCCGTCCGGATGCCATGGGCTTCGAAGTACTTCTCCGTGCGAATCTGCGAGATGAAGCCATCCAGCTGCTCCTCTCCGCGTTTCACAATACGCAATTCGAGACGCCTCTAATGGAATGAAAGGGGATAAAATAATGCAAGCATTCCATGATCATTCCACGCATCGCAATCTTCACTCTCTTGTCCTCTGTTCCATTTGAACACGGGTAACATGGATTCGAATGGGATGGCATAGCCCTTGAAAATAGAGTAGTTCGCTCTAAGACAGAGACTTAACAAAAGAAGAAGAAAACGCAAAGTGTGGCAAAAAAGCAACGCAGGTCGTGATTTGACAAGACACGAAGCAAAATCCGCACACAAGAGCTGCAGCTGGAAGTGATTTGTGGGACCCTCGCCCGCTCATTCAAGCCATGGCCATGATAGGCCGTAAAGACTTGGAATCAAGGTGCGGAATCAGGAGGGTCACGAACGCATATAAGAACTCTGGAGCGAGCAAAGATCAACGAGCAAAGAGATCAACTACTACCAAGATTGAAACAAGTGTCATGCTGCACGTTCTTCGCTTCGTCCAGAATTTCCGTAGTCTTCGATCGATGTGAAGAGAGAAATACATGTGGAGAGAGCCATGTTGAACAGAAACACACACTCCACTTTGTAGTCTGGTTTACCGTGTTCTGCTCTTCTACATACTAAAACTGCAATCACTCAATCTCCTTCTGATCTTGCTCATGAGTCCATTTCCTAGCTCGAAAGCAAACCACACCAAACGTCCAAAAGCCTGCAAGGAAATTACTTAACTAATTAGTAATGTAGTTCAGTCATGCATTCAATTCAGTTTATGCATTCATTCATTCGCTCATTCATTCATCTATCCATTCATCTATCCATTCATCTATCCATTCATCTATCCATTCATCCATTCATCCATTCATTCATGCATTCATTCATTCAATCATTCATTCATTCATTCATTCATTCATTCGTTCGTTCATTCATTTTGTTTCGTTTCATTTCATGTCATGTCATGTCATGACATTCATGTCATTCATTTCATTTCATTTCATTTCATTCATTCATTTCATTTCATTTCATTTCATTTCATTCCTTTCATTCCTTTCATTCCTTTCATTCCTTTCATTCATTTCATTCATTCATTCATTCATTCATTCATTCATTCATTCATTTCACTTCATGTCATGTCATGTCATGTCATGTCATGTCATGTCATGTCATTCATGTCATGTATGTCATGTCATTCATTCATTCATTCATTCATTCATTCATTCATTCATTCATTCATTCATGTTCATGTTCATGTTCATGTTCATGTTCATGTTCATGTTCATGTTCATGTTCATGTTGATTTATTTTCATTCACGTCATTCAAACCGACAATTTTACATAGATAAGTTACATTACGTTACATTATCTTACGCACATAGACACATACGTGACGGTTGTCTGAAATCCCCTGCTCCGGAAACCGCCATCTTCGAAGAAAACAAGCACGAACTCCATCGCGGAAGTTTCGCGGGGCTGTGTTCACGACGTTCATCAGAAAGTAGTACACGAAGGGCACTTCCGCGAAAGTAGTACACAAAGTGAAATGTCCGCAGCCCCATCTCGAAAGTCGCAACCTTTCAATTCCAAAGCAGTATGCGGAACGCCCTTCCGCAGCTCAGCTCCAGCTCACGAGGAGTGCAGCAGCACGTGGGGTTTCGGTGGCCGCCCATGTTCGGGGAGGTCCATCGACTTTCGCGAAGCTTTCGCGGACCTTCGCCAAGCATTCGCGAAAGTCCCGCTGGAAAGCTGCACTCAGCTTGGCCCGAAAGTTTCAAACCCCCACAAGATGACTTCTGCCGGGGGTTGCTTTTGCTCGGGCTTGCTTTTGCAGCGACGTATTCTCGCAGCAACCTTCTAGGCCGCGCTGAGACTTTCCCCTTCCTATCTCAATACAAGGACCTTTTGGAAACTCTTACATATACTGCATTTCATTACAGGCATTTCGGAACATCATTTATATCACATTATGTTTCATACATGCATATGTTTATATGCAAGTAAACGAAGCTAAACATGCGATAGACACTGATGGAACCTCCAACCTAAGCACCACTGAGAGCCATGTCGGGTACTCCTCGCCCATCTGCAGCTCCTCGCCAATCATGTCACACACGGTCTCCACCAGGTCCAGCACGTCAGCTGAGGCACTCTCAAAGACTTCAGAATCCTCGCTGCTCATGGACACGTGCAGCCGGTGCGCGGGAGGCACAGACAAAGAGGACTGGCCTTCAATGCGGAGATCCACCGTGGGATACTTTCTCAAGACATGGGCAAAGTGTGTGCCGCCCGGTCCCGTGATGAGTTCCCGCAAGTCTTGGCGCGAATTGAAGGCTGCCTCCGGCAGGAAGTACTTGCAGAAGCCACGGGGAGCACTGGACACAGGCGCTGCTTTGTTCGGCTCCGGTGTGATGGGCGTCTCAGTCACGGGCAAGTCCATGGCCGGCAAGGGCATGGCAGGCATGGCAGGTCTGGCAGTGCCTGCCTTGAGCGGCAGCCACTCCACAAAGAAGCCGCGAAAAGGCGGGGCCACTTGTGACTCGGTCGGCCTACCCCCCATTCGGCCCATGTCTGAAAGCATTGCATGGACTTTCTCCCGGCCGTAGGGCAGCTTCAAGCCACGGCCCATGGACTCAGAAAACCATGCCCAGGGGTAGAGCAAATACAGCAGGAGCTGCTCATCCTCCACTTGCCTCCGCACCACGCCCCTCAGCCTGGAGAGTACCTCCACAATTGTGGCCTTTGGCAAAGTCGGCAAAGGGGTCAGCTGCGCTTTCACCAGCAGCGTGGCAAAATGCTCGACGGCTGTCTTGCTGAGGCATACCCCTTGGCCTTGCTGCAGTGCGATTGGACCATCAGCGGTCAATGTCGCCCACATACCTGTGGGTCTCAAGTCGTGCTCCTCGAACCAGTAGGGGCTGGGATGGTTCCAGGACTGGATCATCTTCGTGAAGCCTGCCGCCTCAGCCCCGATCAAACTTGCCACCGAGAAACCGTGGCATGCCGTTGCCTCATTTTCTCCCAAGAGGCTGAGCTTCTGGCTACAATTTCAGCTTGCTCTGGGGCATCATCTGGAAGAGGCGGCTCAGCGGGCGTGACCTCATATCCAGGCCAAAGCTTGCAAAGGGAAACTTGGGAATGCATGGTCATGGAGTCATGCACATACGTCACATAAGTCACATAAGCCAGACACTCAGACACTGAGTCACTCAGCCAGGCCTGCAGCGTGGTGCGCCACTGCGTGTCGCTGTCCAGCTCGATGGGAAGTTTCGCCTGCTTGAGCCAGAGCAGCATATCGTTCAAGGTCTGGCCATCTTCCTCTGGGAAGCGGAACTTCAACGGCTCACCGCCTTCTGGACCTGTCTCCCTGGGCAACATGAAGCCGAAGGGATGTGCATCCGGCATCCGAGGATTATCTAAGGCTGGGCCGGCATCACCTCTCTCAGCGAGTTCGCTGTCTAGCTCCGCCACGATCTCTTTGATGATCCTTCTCACTGATTTGCCCTGCTGCGGGACCTCGCCCTTCACGGCGATGTGAAGCCGGCAGTCTGTGGGATCGACCAGCTCCATGTCCCTGCCACTGACGCCCAGCCCGCGGAAGAAAACGCGGGCGCCGCTCTCACTCTCCATGCGCCTGTGGTGCATTCCTCCTCTGCCGATCACCCGGCTAAGAACGTTGGACCCGTACAAGCCCGGGGGGAGGATGCTGTCCAAAAAGATCTTCTCCTGCCATGGGTACTTGTTCTCGGGCAAGGGCGGGGGCGGGTCCTTGGGAAGCTTGGGGGCGACATAGGGCTTCGGAGCTGGAGTCGATGGAGGCGGTGGCACTGGGAGCTCAGTGGGCTGCTTTGTTGGCGCCTTCATGTCCAAAATTGACAGCGCGACATCCTGGATTTCCACTGGGAAAAGGGTGGCATGCTCGTTCAGCTGCTTCACCAAGTCCTGAACCTCCTTGTTGTGCTTGGCCAAATCGATGTCCGCAAAACCCTCCAACTTGATCATCAGCTGCTCCAACATTGCCAGCACGCTGCGCTGCTCTTGGAATGACTTGGACTTTTTCCAGTCGCTGACGCGGCGGCAGACTTTTTTGACGCATTCCAGGATAGGATGATCATGCCGGTCTCCACAGAAGCGGCAGCGCAGGGGGCAGTCATTGCCGGCATGATTGCCATGACAGTTCCAGCAAACCTTCTTTCGGAAGGGGCATTCTTGATTCTTGTGGTCTGCAGCATCGCAATTCAAGCACAACATGCCCTGAAGGTAGGACTCGCGCACCTTCATTCTGCTCATCCGCAGTGGCCTGGACATGTCGGTCGGCTCAGCATCCGAGAGGATGTCAGCATCCGGGAGGTCCTCATCCGGCGCTTCGGAGTCCGAGGTCACGGGGTCTCGGCCCTCGATGCCCTTGCGGGCTGCGAGCACCATGCCGGGGTACAGCGCGGTTTCTTTGGCTTTCGACTGGGGCATGGACAGCACGTGCATGGCGAAGGCCGCGTTGGCGCGCATGGCGGTCAGCGCCTTGGACAGCAGCGGCCCGAGCTTCCGGTTTGCCGTCTCCAGGTCCTCAGCGCTGGGCGCCGTCACGACCACCGAGGCACTGGGAGCCCGGGCGGACACGGCGCCCACAGCTTCGTGGCCACCCGTGGTCTGAATCACCACCACCGTCTCCAGGGGCACATCACTCCCCCAGTTGAGGGTCAAAACCCCGAGCCAGAGCTTGTCTGCCAACTCGCGCCAGAAGTCCGGCAATCTGCTGATATCTGGCCCGCACAGGCTGTGGTGCGCAGAATGCGAATGCATTGGCACATGTCTGCGAGGCGTCCAGCACCCCCGGCGGTACTCAACTCCAACCTCCTTCTTCACATTCTCATCGGACTGCAAAATGTAGGCATTCTCCTCGCAACTCCACGGCAAGTACCAGCGGTCTCGTGCACCCTCATTGTCAGAATCCATGTCCTCCATGCAGCCGCGGACTGCCCGCCCCAATGCATCTGCCACATGCACCACAGCGCCATCAAACTGTTTGCGGCCACCAGACCCATCAGATCCATCTGCAGCAATGGTCAGGGCGTCATCGCAATTTGTGGGAGGTCCTTTCACTTCTGCGCCGTCGCACAGCTTTACCAGCTTCTGCCACCGGTTGCCATCAGGTCCGGAAAGCTGCCGAGTCAGCATCTGAGTCTGTGAAGACGTCAAGCCTTGCAACTCAAAACGGTAGCTCAGAGTACACGGAGCTTTGCGAGGGCAGTTGTCTTCCCAAGCATGCAGCCTCCTACCTTCCTTCTGGTCAAAGCCGGCAGAGTGAAGCACGACAACATCCAACAAACGCCTCAACATGCCAGAAAGTCTCTCCATGGCCTCTGGGGGAAAAGCCGCATTTTCTGCTGCCTCGTCCTTCTTGTCCTGGTTCTCCTTCTCTGGCTTGGGCTCATCTCCGTCTCCTTTCTTTTCCTTCTTCTTGGCAGTGGGCAGCTTGGGCTCAATGTTGTACTTGTGGCACACGGCCAGGTACAGCGTCTTCTCCTTCCCCTTGTACTTTCCGAGCAAATCATCCAGCTCGCCCAACTTGTCTTTGTTGTGCTCCTCGTAGATTTCTGCAATGAGCTGCTTGTACTTCTCGAAGGTGGATTTGGCTTCCTCCTTCTTCGATGCCTTCGGCTCAATGTGGTACTTCTCACAAATGCCCTTGTACACAAGCTCCTCCCTGCCCTTGTACTTCTGTAGGAGGCTGTCTAAATCTGCAAGCTTGGAAGGATTGTGCTCCTTGTAGATCTCGGTGATGAGCTCCCGGTACTTCTTCACCTTCTTCTCATCAACTGAAAGGCCTGACGCTGCGGGAGCCTTGGATTGCTCCGGAGATACTCTGTACTTCTCGCAAATGCAGAGGTACAGCGTCCTCTCACGGCCCTTGTACTTGCCCATGAGCGCGTCGATGTCTCCAAGCTTCGAGGGGTTGTGGTCCTTGTAGAGCTGGACGATGAGCTCTCGCCAGTGCTCCGGGCCTGCCTCGGGCAGCACGGCGGACTTGGACTTCAGCTCCTTAACGCCGAGGCTGGCGAAGAGCGCCGCAGCATGGCGGCTCGAGTGGACATTCTTCTTGGGCCACACCGAGCGCATGGCCTCCGCGAAGACATGCCGCGCTTGCTCTCCGCTGCGCCGGGCGAGGCGGCAAAGCTGCAAGAGCAGCTCGTGGTCATCACTGGACGCATCCAACAGCCACATCATGCACAGCGCATCTGACAGCAAGATCTCCATCGGCGGGTAGACCGGCAACTGGTTCTTCTCGAGCTTCAGCTTTAGCACCTGCTAAGCAATTGAGAGAAGACATGTGAGCAACCAACTTACCATCCCACGTCCAGCCCTGAGGTATCCAGCAAAGAATGATGAGTCAGAAACCCCAAACACAAGTTGAATACGCGCTTGCCAGACAAATCAAATCAAACAGGGCCTCCACCAGTTCCTTCGCCTTCACCAGCTTCTCTCCGGAGAATCTTTGAAGGTCCTTGCCCACAAACTCATGGAGGCCCCCTACAAAGTCCCTGAGGTGGTGCTTCCGGTCTGAGGCGAAGCGCTGCATTTCCGCTGCGTCCCTGTTGGGGCCGAACATTGGCCGGAACATGCCCTTGCCCGGAAAGCCCTTCATGGGCATTCCCTTCCCGAACCCCTTGGGGTCGAACCATGGCGGAGGGCCGCAGGGGCCGCAGGGGCCACAGGGACCGTGATGGAAGGGGGGATGCATCGGTGGGGGCATGCCTTTGCCAAACGGCATGCCAGGCGGCATGCCGGGCGGCATGGGCGGCATTCCCTTGCCAGGCATCATGTGCGGCATGCCCTTCCCCTTGCCATCCATAGGCATTGGTGGGAAAGGCATGCCAGGCGGCATCATGCCAGGTGGCATCATGCCCGGCGGCATCATGCCGGGTGGCATCATGGGCGCGTCTGAGTCAGAGCTGCGCTTGTCGCTTGATGCCCTTTTCCGTTTCTTCTTCTCCTTCTTCTTGTCCTTCTTCTTCTCGTCATCTTTTCCCTCCTTCTTCTTCCGCTTCTTTTCGCGGACTCCCTGCCCAGCTTTCTCTTGAGCAGCCCGCTTGAGTTCCGTGAGTTCCGAACCTATGTTCTCGTCTGGCTCCCATGATGTCTCAGAGTAGCCTTTCCACTTCACCAGGTACAAGTCCTTGCCATCCGCCTGCCTGAGGCGAATTGTCTTTCCAAGTCCAACACTTTGAATTCTGACTTGCACACAAGAACAAACCAACACAAGGTGCGACAGTTCAGGACGCCTCAGAACACACTTCGCCCAGATCACGCCTGTAGTCCAGGAGGTCCTCCACCTCAAAGACCCCTTCGTCCCCATCCATGGCGGCAGGTTGCCTGGCCTTTAACTGTGAGCCAAGCCAAATGCCACAGAAGCGACTGCCTCACCTCGAGAAACGAAAGACACACATGTCACCGCTTCACTGCTAACATCCGCAGATGGTTGCCCTAATGTGCCTCAAGATGCGCACAAGATGGTGGGGCTCAGAAAAAATGCAAGGCAACAGGGGCCTCGATCGCATTGCCGGAGAAGTTCAAATCTGCATTGGAGAGAGGGGCCCCGCCTGCACCTTGCAGTCACAAGTTACCCAACTTTGCGATTGCACAACTGGCAAGGGCTTTGTTAATGCGTTTTCCCTCAGCGCAGTGAAGCAAAACAGTAAAACCCTCAAATCTGAGCTTCGGACAGCCCAGCGTTTTGAGCAGACCGGGGGCCCACTGGCACCACATGGCCTCGTGCCCGCACGCGTGAAACGAAGCACGGCGCCACCATGCTTCACATTCGGGGCTGAAGGCCAAGGTCGACGCCAGTGTCGCGTCGTTCAGCTGGAGCGAACCTTTTGCATACGCAGCTGGACCGTCGAACAATACTTGAAACGTACAAGTTGGCTCGAGGCGCTGGCTCATGTTGGCCCGGAGGATGCCGTCGTGGAATGTCAAACGGTCAGCCCAAGCAGCCTGCAGGCATAGCCCGGGCAACATTTGCCATGCCCGAGTGCCTGGCCTCCTGCTGCTTCACAGCCTCCGGGACAAGCTTCGGTGGAGCCTTCGGCCAGGCAGGTACTCCCAGCGCCTGCCCGAGGCAAACCGAGACTTGACATCGGAAAAGCTGGACAAGCTCAACTTGGCTTGGGGCCAGCTGTGTCCTCAGCGCTGCGAGCGGCTGAAGATCTCAAGCTGTCTGGGAGCTCGGCGGCATCACTCCCAGCAGCGGCAGGACTGCCCAGTTGCAACGGAAAACGGCCCCGATCGGCCCCGATCGGCCGTTGACGCAACATGCCAAGCCCAGCTAGCCTGGCACCGCAAGCGGAGGCGGTGGCCTGAAGATGCAGAGCGAAAGCGAGACCCTGAGCAATGCCAAGCATGCGTGGGCGCCAGGCACTGGTAAGCTAGAGCTCGCTTTTGATTGAGCTGCCCCTGTGTAGACTAAATGCCTGGACAAAGCCAAGCTGCAACTTGAAGCTATGGTTTCTGCGCTGCAGCCGCGCCGCATGAACTGCGGGAACTCCGAACTGAACAATGCCTCAGCCAATCAACAGTTTGAGCGGCCTATCAAGATGTCTTGCAGCTGGGGCACGCGGTCCTCGGTGGACAGGCCAGCCCAAAATGTCCCAACCGCTTCGCGTTCGGGCACAGAGCCGTCCTGACAATCTGCGGATGGTGTTTGAGCCACTGCATCGCAGTCCTCCAACTGCTGCGTCAAAACCCGAATTTTGGCGGCGTATCCATGTCCATCCTTGCGAGAGCTGCTCTACGGGGGGGATCTTTCCGCCTTGCCCTGCCTTCGAAGGTGGGCCTGACAAGTCTGGATGGACGGACATTTCAGCAGCAAAGACATCACAAATATTCACAAATGCTCCAAGCTAAGCCGGCATTCGAAGCTGAGCGCATGGCTTGGCATGCTCTTCACGGCCGCCGCCTTCTTGTTCGGGCGGCGCTTCATGCGGAGTCCACGCTCGACACCTCTGTACCTGTACGACAAGTCTCTCAGAAAATGGATATGGAGCTGAATCATGTGAGCATATGGAGCCATGGGACAACACGGGACTCAGGAATCCTTCAGTTTGACTTGCGCGTCATACGCGTCTTACGCGTCCTACCCCAGACAGCCGACACGGGCTCACAGGGCTGGATCTACGCGGAGTTCTGCGGGGAGATCGAGTGGCGGCGGCGCTCGCCATTGCACCAGCCGCACAGCGCGGGCCACCGCACCGATGGACAGCAGCAGGGTGCTGGCGAAGCCAAAAAGTGCAAAACAACTGCTTTCACTCAGAGACGCAACGCCCAGATGTGACATATGGCTATGACACCCGTAAAGTTCGTAAGATTCAATCAGTGCAAGCGCGACACCTGTCGACAATGTTCAGAAGTTCAAAGCCACCAAACACATTAAAGTATCAAATCCAATTCGCAGCTTCAATTCAAAGCCGCCTCCCCTCCGTCGTCTTGGTCTGCGGGGGCTCCTGCGGGTTGCCCACGCCGGCGCCGCCTGACCACATGAGAAGGAACCCCCAGGCTATTTGGCACTCGTTGCTAATTGGCAGCAACCCCAGACTTGAGGACCTGAGCACTCCTTTAATATTCATTGCAACACCCCGCGGCAGACCCTGTGGAGCAACTCCTCTAAACGGTAAGGGCAACGGCCATAGCGCAAAAATGCAGCCATCTTCCCACAAGTCCCTTGCCTGCAGCAGATCGCCCCTTTCTCCTGAAAGGGGCAGAAAATGATCCCCACAACCTCCGCTCATTGCATCTGACGGGTCCACAGGTCCTGCCCCGCAAAACCAAGCTGGACAGCCGCCGTTGTTGCCAACGGTTTGGATCCTCCAACTCAACCTGCGGCTGGGACTATCGTGTCGGTCTGCACACAAGGACTGGGAACTTCTTCGGATGCTCCTCGGGAACACCGTTCCTGCTTCCGTCAGGAGATTCAGCAGAGCGAATGCCGCAGGAAGCACTGCATGCTTCCGCGCGCGCCCACTTATTGCAGCGACCGTGCAGCACTGCGCGCGGCTGCCAATCAAAGAGTTTGTTCCAATGACAAAAGCCAACTTGTCAAGGAGCGCATCTGCCCAGCATTGCGCGCACGGCTGGCAAACAAAGGGGTTGTTCAAGTGACAATGCGAAGAGGCGTGCAGCACGCGCACAGCTGCCAAACGCAGTGTTTGTCCCAATGACGAGAGCCAACTTATAAAGAAGCGCGACTGAAGTGTTTGATCCAATGGCAGTGACAAAAGCCAACTTATCAAGAAGCGCGGCGTGTGTTATGTGCTTGTGTTCGCGAGCTCACTTGTTTGTTGGCTTGCTTGTTTGCTTGCGTGTTTGGTTGCTCATTGGCTGGTTGGCTGGCTGTTTGTTTGCTTCCTTGCTTGTGTGCTTGTTTTCTTGGTTGATTCGTTGGTTGGTTGGCTGTTGCTGCTTAGCGCTTGTGAGCTGGGTTGTTCTTTAATTCTGTTGTTCGGCTTGGCGGTCATCTTCCTTGACTTCTTGCAGTGCTTCCCACTGAGGCGCTTCAAAGCGTTTCAGAGCTAGACGTGCCCCAAGCATACCGCATATACCACTAATACATGTCTTCTGACTGTAGTAAATCACTGGTAGTTGTCTCATAGCAACCCCTGAACATTTGCCCAGCTTCGCTTATTCAACATTCTGCGTGGTTGTTTTGCTGCGTGGCTCCAAATTTGAGGGACGCCTTCTCAAGATCCAGCTCCTATCAAAGGGCATCTCTTTACAGATGTGCAAATGTCTTCCATATTCGAGGTATGTCATGTCTCTGAATTGTCTCTGACGGTTTTGCCAGCCACCTCACATGTCTATATTGTTGGCTTCATAATCTCCGCATTTAAGTCCATGAAGTTCCGCATAGAGTCACGAAAACGAGTGATAGAGAAGGGTCCCTTGCATTTGTTCATGCTATACAGTTTTGGATAGTTTTGGATTCAGGTCACTCACAAATTGACGTTGAAAAGGCAAAAGGAATACTGAGGTGTGGCAATGTAAGCTCTGGTCAAAACTTCTATCAGTCAGTACATTGGCATCATTGTTCTCAAACAAGCCAACTTCTATCCGTCAGGCTAAAACTGTGTGTTTTGGAGGGGCATATTGTGTACAGTCTTGCATCGAAGGGCGTTCTTTCCATTGGCATGCCTTCAGTTGACACAGCCTCGGAATGTAATGACAAATTCTCCCGTGCATGGCCCCGTTCTTTTGAGCAGCTTCGCCAAAAGGAATCTCAACAACCTGTACCTGGCAGTATCTTACCATACCCGAACAAGTTATCCTCAAGGATTCATGCCAGATTTCCGCAGCACCCAGAATCGAGCACCAAGACGTGGAAAAAAAAGATATATACGAGTATGGCCATCCGGCCTGCCAATAGCCTGCCATTCGAAGAGACAGGCAAATGGCCGGCCTCCGCAAGGCCCGACCAGGACCGTGTGCTGCCCCAGCGTGGAATGAGAAGCGGCTTGGCCTATGGAAGCATCGCAACAGGAGGCAAACGCCTCGACTCCTATTCTGAGAGTCAGGGAGAGTATGAGATGGGGTGCGCGCAGGGCCGTCTCCTCTGCCTTGTGCTTCTGATGGATTTTCGCCTTCCTAGGCACATGCTGCGAGGTCGCAAACTCGTGATTTTATTATTTCTTCCGTCTGGACCGTCCTCTACCTCGCTGGCATCGGGGTCAACCAATCCAGCCCCACCCTGGCCATAGACTCTATAGAGTCTACTCTGAGTGTCTCAGAGTCTGGGGGTGACTCCTCCCGCATCTGTCGGACTGGAAGCTTCATCTGCACTGCCTCGGAATCTCGGAGTCCGAGCCACCCGTTGATTCTTTGCCAATAAGCGAGCCACTGCATCCAAGTCCAGCGGGTACAGGTCTGCCCAACCCACTCTCCGACCTGGCCACCTGACGGAGCGAACCGATCTCGTGCAAATCGATGCATGCGCCATGCATGCGCCTTTCTGCAGATCGATGCAGGGGCTCTGCAGGATTTGGAGACCCAGGCGGGCGCCAATTGAGAACAACCTCCAGGCAGGGTGCAGCCAAAGAATTTAGGAGCTGCGCTGCCATAACATACCCTCTGTCCCCTCAGAGAAAACTCGTTGATCTTGGACAGGCTTGTGTGTGTGTGCACGTGTCCTTCGGCTGCATGTCCTCGCCAAGATCATGGAGTTCCTCACTGGGCTCCTCGGGTAAGTCACAAGTGCAGCCTTGGAGTCTGCTGAAAAGGCAAGGGAGAGGAAAAACAACCAGTAAGTCCAAGCACGAGAGAGTCCCAAAGATTTTTCCATCTTCCACTTGGCCCCGCTGGCGTCCTTCTCAGCAGGGCGAGCCACCGGCGCCTAAGCTGACAAGATCTGGCAATCCTCATTGGCGCATCCGGAGGTGCCTCTCCGATCTCGGCATCTTCGTCGTGGCTCTCGGTTTCACTCTCCTCGCAATCGGGAAAATCGGGCCACAAATGCTGCCAGAACTCTGCCAGCCGAGCACGCCTCGCCCTCGGACGTGCCTGTGGTTGAGCCTGACTAACTCAGCTTTTTCAGCAACGGCTGGCCTCCAAGGCAAAGACCGGTCTCGGCAATGGCGATTGGCTCGGGTGCGGCAGGCGCAGGTGCCGGCTCTAGCTCCCGCCCCTCAAGCTCCTCCTCTTCCTCCTCTTCCTCGTCCTCCTCCTAATCTCTCCGAATTAGGCACGAGTCAGATGTTAGAAGCCCGTTCTGCCCAGCCTCTGAGGACTCAGATGCCTCGCATGCGGCTTGAGCTGGAGCATGCTGCAGCCTGGGGTGCCGTTGTAACAGGTCCAGCGCAATACAATGGGCTCATTCGTTTGGTCCGTGTCCCGAAAGCTTCGGACATCTTCGCACCAACCCACGCCTGGCCCGCATGAAAACTCGCAGCGCTTGAGGAACGTCCAGTGCGCAAAGTTCTATCGCCGCTTGAGCTCCGACAGCATGCTCCAAACCATTGTCCATATGCACTCCACTTGGTCATTTGCAACCACTTGCAATCGCTGCCTGGCCCATCTGCGCTCCTGACAAATCCCAGACACTTCATGTTGCTCATATTCATTATATGTTCGAACATTCATTTGTAGGCCTCTCAGAGCAACGTTCAAATCTTGCTATATCTTGCACCATTTGGTTTGTCGGAGTATGTGACTTGTCGGAAGCCATCACCATGGCACAGTTCAGCGTGACTGAGGGTGACTGCATGCAAATGCTGCAAGACATTTGTGTCCAACGTGAGGTACATCCATGTGACCGAGATTTGGCATATTTTTACGTGATTTGTCCCTGAGAGATGTCGAACATACATTTGTCGAACTCGTCGAACTCAGCTTTTAAATTACGGCCTCAGGCCAACATTGAGTTCGTAAACCCCATTCTTGCTTATCAGGCCTACGTTCGTCGGATGTGGGTAAACGTCGCTTGCATTGGAGTGTCTGGGCAAGGCCGCAGCAACGCCATTGTGCGCCTGCGACGGGCCACACGCCGAAGGGCGCGCCAGCCTTGGCCACGCGCTGAGGAAACAAGAGCATGCAACAGGTAAGAAGATGAACCTTGCCGAAACGCTTGCTCCGAAAAAGCGCGCCATCATCAAATTCCAAGCGTGCCTCCTCACGCCGAATACACACATTTCGCGAAGAAAAACGCTCTAGGTCAAAACCTGCACGACTCCGACTACCTTGCACCATTCCGGCGTGCTCGTGCGGTGCTCTCATTGAAGCAGAAAAGTGCAAGGGGGTCACCGGGCCTGTGTGGGTCAAAATATCATTAGCGCCTCTCTAGCGCTCCGCTGGCGCCAAAATCTGCCACAACAAACGCAATTCCAGTGGGAGACAAAAACCATTCACGGCCGAATGAAAAACGAGAACAAACTGCGCTAAGACAACAATTGAAAAGTGATCGAAATGCCGGCGCCCGGCTAGCGAGTAGCTAACAGCCCCTGAGCGATTCCCTTAATTTCCAAGCGTGCCGCTTCACAAACAAAACGTGCGACTCATACCGAACCATTCAACAATCCTAGGAAATGAACTGTCGCGCGCAGACTGTCGCCGCTGTCATGGCCTCTAATGAAACAATACACTGCAAGAACGCCTGGCTGATGCTTGGACATAAGGCGGCGGCCAGCTGAGCACTCCACGGGTGGTAGGATCCCGCAGGCCAGACTTGCCAAGCCTAGCTCGTTAGCTCATGCCACAGGTCTCGGACAAGTGCAACAGCTCCCCACATCTGGTGGCAGAACAGGTTCGCGTTGTTCGTGACGCTCACGCCTGCATGTGACATTGGCCAACAGGACACAGTCTGGGCCGGTGCTCAGAAATGCTCTCTTGCCTCCTGCGTCTGGAGCGAGACCGACTGCGAAGCTCTTTCCGCCGCCTTGTGGCATGAGCATGGCGCGTGTGGAAGTCGAGGTGCCCTGCCTTCGGTCTCGATCCTTCACGGCACTTCCAATTCGCTGGGCCTGGCACACTGTCGGCCACTTGCCCCGTGCAAGCTTTCGAAAGGCAACGAGCCGCACCTGCCCACGCCTGCAAGCACGTGATATCGTGACCAAATGCAATCTGACATGCCCCACACCTGTCGGCTGGTCCTGTCACAAATGGGAAGCCATATTCCTCACTATTATTCACTATTCTAATCTCAAGTCCTTGCATGCTCCAAAAGCTCGCGTCGACCTCTGAAACGCGGCTGACACGATTTCAGCACTTTGGGCGCGCCTGTGGCACGTCCGCTGTCTGGCGTGTCGCTGCTGGCCTTCGGACGCCAGGCTGCTCTGTGGTGCAATTCCGTTTGCGCCCAATGCGAGCTTCCCAGCCCGGCTCAAGCAAGATCAGCCATTGGACAGGCAATTCGTATCTCGGGCAATCATCTGTCACGATACGTAAACCGTGTGCATCTGTATAAACATGTGTACCAATAAGCTATATACATGTTGCCTACAAAACTACGTAGCGTATCTACTTTCTATCTAGAATACATACGTCGTGCAAACTGTTTGCCAAAAACCTGCTCCGCTGCCACCATTGTCCGTAGATGGGGCACCTTATCTCTGAGGACGAGCCCAATGTGGTAGCGGTCTCTAATGGCTGTGGATCTGTTTCTCAACGAGAACCTGATGACCTGATGGTTGACACTGCTGTGGAAACGTCTGGTCAATACAATATGTAAGAGTGTGCTGAGATTGAGGGCAGCGAGGCCTTTTTCTATGGCGAGTATGAACTCTATGGTAGAAAAATTGGCCTTGAGCCAATATGTATACGTGATACAAACTGGTTGCCTATGAAGGTCAATGGTCTGCAAAACACAGAACCCCCCCCCACTCCTCCACCCTAGTTCAATCACTTGAATTCTTGGGCAATCTTGAGGCAGGTGCGGCTCGGTGTCCCGGGTCTTCTTCTCTTTGGGCTCTTTGGCCTCTTTGCCCTTTCTATCTTTGGGCTCTTTCGATGCTTTGGGCTCTTTCGATGCTTTGGGCTCTGGCATGGCCTCAAATGCTTTCCAGAGAGGCACTGTTCTCAAGTTTGCGATGTCAAGCATTGAAGAAATCAAGCGCAAAGGCTGCAGGACGCTGAAGGGGCTTGCTTGAACCTCTGCCTTGTCTCGCTTGCCTTCCTGCGGCAAGTTTTGCACATCACGCCGCATGAGTGCAATCCGGCCCCTTGCTCCAGGCAGTCGAGCTTGGGCCTTCTTCTCCTTCTTCTCGGACTTCTCGGCCTTAATTTTATGCTTCTCGCCATGCTTCTCCTTCTTGGGCGGCTCTGGCACCTCACCGCTCAAGCACACAAGGCTCTGCGGCTCTGCCCTAGCATGGGCCGCAAGGCAGCTCTGTCGACACTGGCTAAATCTGGCAAGCCAGCGATCCACACAACACATGAGTCATCTTCTGGGAGGTCTGACTTGCGAGAATCTCCGCTTCAAGATCTCACGGGCGCGCAAAGCGCAGCTGCTTTGCATTCGCAACTCATTTTGCTCAAGGGCAGAGTGCGCTGTTACAAGTGGCGCTGTTACAAGATTGTGGGGGGCGCCTGTTGCTTACGCAGAGACTGACCTTCCCAGGCATCCCAGGCACCCTGGGCATCCCAGGCATCCCGAAACCGCCCTGCACAAGCATCGCGGCCAAGTGGAAGGAACGTGCTCGCGACAACTCAACAAACCATGCCTGCTGCAACAAAGCGGCAAAGCATTCCAACTAATACAAAATGATTGGGGATGTTGGCTCTTACTCACCCTCTGGTCCGAGTTCTGTGTCCAGCCGATGGAGCAGGCGTCTCAGACAAGTTTGTGCCCTGCCTCAGGCTCCTCAATCAGCTCTGGCTCCGCTGTCTTGCTTTTCTTGTGCTTTTTTGGTCTTGATTCCCTGCACGCACTGACTCACTGAAGCGCTTTCACGTTAGGAGCTGAGGGCCAAGCATCTGCTCTTCCTCTCCTGGCATAGCTCGCGCTTCCTAAAGAACTAAAGATCTAAGCCCACTCGGGAAAAATGGCTCCTCGCCCCCGGCTCATCTTTTCTTTCTTCTCCTGCGTGCTGAGGCTTACTGTGCTAGTCATGTGAATCAGCAGAACGCAGCCTTGGCAGCATCTTCCGGCCGCTTGGCGTCCTTTCTCTTGCGGGGTGCCTAGTATTCTGACACGTTGGCACCATCAGAAGAGTGCGCGCAAAGGCTAGCACCTCTTTGGCTTCCTCTTCGGCTTTTTGCCGTCTGCCTTCAGGACTTGACAGGAGCTTGCGCACTAGAAACTGAGAAGCTGAGCTGAGCCAATGACTTCTGCCTTTCTCCCGGTCCCTGCATGTGTTTGCCGCCAAAGCAGCCAGCAAAGCACTCTCCTTGCCTCTTGGATTTGTCTGCCTGCAGCTGACAAGTGAAAGTCTGTCGCAATAAACAGCAAGAAGCGCTCCATGCCACACATCATCCCACATGGGTGCGAGTGTGCTTGAGGCTACCAATTCTGAAAACCATACACCCCTTCCAAAGCTCAGACCCGCCTTGCTTTCTGGCTGAACTTTTGCATCCTGCAAAGGCGGCCGTGAAGCGCAGATAGGAGCAGTGCAATGGGTCCTTCTTGCGGCCTTCCACCTGGAGCAAAACAAGCAAAGGCAAGAGAGCCTGGGCAATGGCACTATGGCCTCCTGATTGCTCCGTAAAACGAGCGCATTTGCTGGCTTCAAGCGTGCCCTGCGCACCAAACTTGCGGATACGCCTGGATGCAAGGTGATGCAAGTAGCAAGGCCTCTCTTCGGGTGCCCTTCGAAGAACTGCCCGCGGCTCGCGTGGCTCACGCGGCTCACGTGCCACCAGAACTCGCCTGTGCGTCTAAGGCCCGTTCGCGCAAGCTTCGTCTGAATGTGTCTCATCTCTCACAGCGCAACCGGCCTCTCTTGTCGCCTCAGATCCAAGCAGGCTGAGGCGAGACATGGAGCCCCTACAACCCTGAGCTTGCACTTCGCGCCTCGGTGTTTTCCCTGGCCGCATTCTGTCTTACCGATATGCGAGGCAAGACCAGGCCTGGAGACGGAGAAGGGCATCCTGAGCACCAAGGACAAAACGCTTCAAAACGCACAGGCGGCAAATGACCGGCTTCAGGGCCGGGCCGGGTGAAGGCGCGGAAGGTAGCGACTCCTCATCCCTTAGCGAAGCTTTATGCGAAGCATTGCTAAGCTGCTGAGGAGATCTATGGTCGATCCGGAGTCCAAGCCCGCCACGGTGAGCGCCGAGCTCCAGGCGCCAAAGGTGCCTCTCGCCAGAGAACTTTCAGAAATTGCATCTGATCGATGTGGGGGCGAGGCTCGAGTGGACTTGCTTGATTTTGCTTTGCGTGGATCCTGAGCAGGCAGCCACACCAACCCAGCCAACCTACGCAAGAGAGTGATGCCATGTGCGGGAAGAGCTTAAGCTGCTTTGCAGCCTGCAGGCTTTGCCGACTGCGCTTCTTCGCCTCTATTGAGGCAATCCAATAGGCCTGTGGTGCTCACAAACTCCAGCTACCCCGTGGCAGGCCGCACCTTGCAAAGGATCAAAAAGGAAAAAGGCGCAACGAGACAGCAAAGCGCCAAGCTGCATTGGAGCCGGCGTTATGTAGCGCCCATGGCTTTGTTTAAGGCGTCTACGGCACTAGAACGTGTGGAGCTTGCTTGGGCACGTGGCATCGAGTCTAAATGGCACTGCACGTGATCACTGTAATTTCCACCTTGACCATAGGGGCGTACATGGGCGTGTTTCATGAAGCCAAGATGAGACTGCTGCTTTGCTACAAAGTCTGAGTTTGCAATCAATGTGCGCCATCTGTCAGTTTGTATGAGGCTGTGAAGAGCTGGTGCAGCCAAACATGGCAGCCAATGCCCAAACAAAAACACTCCGGGCAAGCAAACAGTCCAGGAACATCTGCGAACTTATTTCGTCCTCAGGCGAAACTCGCACCTCACATTCGCATGGGCGGTGGCAGCACTGGAGATGTGTGATGCTCCTGCTCAGACTTGGTCACTGTGACATGGAGGTCGTGCACGCCAACTAGTCTCACCGCCTCGGTGGACACTGCCTCAGCTTTCTCGATCGGAAGGGAACCCTTGCCTGACAACCAGCCCTCTACGACTGCCGAGTCATAGCCAGCTGACTGCAGCTCGCGGAAGGCCTCGTCAACTTCAGGCTGGCCCCCGTGCTTCAGCATGCCGGCCAGCTCTTTTAAGGCCTCCTCTCTGTGCTCAAGCTTCACGCTTTCCAGAAGCTGGGCGCGCTCGAGGTCTTCTGCCGGTAACTCGGCCTTGGCATCCGTTCTGGCGAGAGGCCTTTTTGGACTGACAGCCGAGACCAGCTTTTCCAGGCCGCCAGCGATCCAATCCTGGAAGCGCTCAGGATCATATCCCCAGCGTGTCACGCCAGCCAAGGCCTCCTCAACCCTGGCCGCCCCACCAGCCTGAAACATGTGGATCATGAAATGTGTGGCATCGTCTCTCTTGGCGCTGTGCAGGAAGAGCATCAGCATCTCAGAGTCGCTCATGTTCTGCGGGCTGTGGGCATGATCCGTTGGCCAGGACTTGTTGATCACTTCTGGCTTCTGTGAAGTGCTCATCCGGCTACCTGGCTGCATGCTGACATTGCTGCTCTCTCTCTTGCTGAGGTAGTGGCTGTCGCGGCGTGCCAAGCTTCCAAGTGTATTGCCGGGCAAGGTGGTCTGGATCGGCTTTTTCCGTAACGGCTTGCCAGCAGCAAGCAGCTGCACATCTTGGGGGTCATATCCCCAAGACTGCAGACTAGCCAGCGCTGATTCAATGCGAGGCTCACCCCCATGCTTAAAGAGGTTGGAGATGGTGGCTTTCAATCCTTTCGCATTTTCTGCTTGGACCATGTGCAGCAGCAGCTTGGCATCATCTTGGTCTGGGCGCGCTTGCTTGGACACCGTGCTGGCGTGCGCTGCTCTTGTCGGAGTCGGTGCTAGTGTCTCACCCTCAGACTTGTACCACCGCTTGACAGCATCAATGTCGTATCCCAATTTCTGGAGCTTGGCCAAGTTCGTCGACAAGGATGCCTTGCCACCAGCTCGCAGCATCTCAGCGAAGGCGTGCATCACGGCTCCACGGTCCCCACCTTCGAGTCCACGCACCAAAGATGCAAAAGACTCATCTGCTCTTGCTCCCGTTGCTCCCGTTGCTCCCGTTGCTCCCGCATCTCCCGCCACCCACTGCAGAAGGGTCTGGTAGTCCCCAGTGGCAGAGAAGCAACCCAGAACCTCCTCCATACGATTCTTGCCACCTGCGCGGACAATCCCAGTAAGCACGTCCTTGGCCTGTTGCAAGTTTCGTCCTTGAGCTGCCCGGGTGAGCTGGGCAAAGTCCGACAACACGCCCACCGCATGGTCGGTATCTGCTCGTCCTAGCCCACTTTTGCCATCCAGCCATCCCTTCAGCTGTCGGATGTCGTAGCCCAAAACCTGCAGTCCGCGCAAGGCATGGACCACATGCTGGTCCCCACTGCGCTGGATGCTGGACAGAGACAGCCTTGCCAAGGAAGGGAGGGAGTCTCTGGTCTGCCGCACCAGCGCTTTGAAGCGCTCCAGGTCGGCCAGGTGGGCGGACTGGTCGGCCAGGTCAGACCTGGACTGGGAAGGGAAAGGGCCACCGGAGAGCCACTTCTGCACTGCTGCTGGTTCCGGGCCGCCACCTGCTGTCACCATGGCCAAGGCCAAAGGTAGGTCGGGGAGCTCAACCAACACGCCGGCCATTGCCCTTCTGTCTCCTGCAGACAATGCCTTCAGGAGGGGGCCAGCAGAAACTTCATTTCCAGGTACCACCTTGAGGGCGGATACGCCCGACAAGGCCAGCAGAAGCCACACAAGCGGCATGACTTGAAGGCCCTGAAACCCTCAAGCCAGACATTGAGCCTTGAACGTCTGCAAAATCGTGCAAAGGCACAAACCCTGCATCCCCAATTTGCCAAATGCAAACCCCAAGCAGGACTCTTTTGGCACTCGCAAGACAAGATCAATGCTCACTCAGGACCTCGCAGCGAGGCCTGGAAATGGCGCGCCTGCGCCTCATCCATGAGGTTTGGATTGATACTCTCACCATCGCTCATGCGCATGCCCTGCATGCCCTGCATGCCCTGCATGCCATGTATGGCGCCAGCTCGGAGCAGCAAGGCCTCCTCGCGCTTCATGACATTTCGAGCTTGTGGCTCCCCTTTGTTGTTCAAGGCAATGGTGAAGGTCACCTCATCACCAATTTGCAGACCCACCATCTGGTTCTTGTGGATGTAAACATCCCTTGTGAAGCGGGTCTTTGTTTCATCGCAATCGATGAAGCCATAGCCTCCCCCAGGCCCCTCTTGGAATCTTTTAACCCTGCCGACGAAAGTCTCCTCTTGACCTTGACCAACTTGAGCCCCCGGCCACACTTCTGGAAACGCCTGTGCCTGCGCCTGCGCTTGCGCGGCCTGCGCGGCCGCTGCCTGTGCTGCTTGAGGCGCAGACTGCCACATTTGGTGCAGAGTGCCTGGCCAGGCTTGCGCGCCTGGGTGCGGCTGTGCCATCCCTTGCACTCCTTGCATTGCTTGCATTGCTTGCATTGCTTGCATTCCTTGCATTCCTTGCACTCCTTGCACTCCTTGCATTCCTTGCACTCCCTGCATTCCTTGCATTGCCTGCCATGGGGCAGGGGCTGACCACTGCTGGGCCGGATGTGTGAAGGGCTGCTGAGCTTGGAGTTGCCCACGGTCTTGGCTGGTATGATTGTATCCAAGATTGTGAGGGAACTGCTGAAAAACGGGGGGCACATGTCCATTGAGTCCTGGTGGTGGCGGTGGGGGCGGCGGTCTGATTGTGGTGCTAGGATCTGGGGGTGGCGGCTGTATTGGGGATGCAGATCTGGGTGGTTCGATGGCACGGGGTGCTGGAGGAGGTGGGGGCACGATGGGCGCGATGGGCACCACTGCCACGGGCGCAGGCCTGTCCGTGGCCAGTGCGGCCGCAGGCACCAAGTTGTTGTCAGCCACATCCCAACCTGTCGGTCGCCGACTTTTTGAGCGGGATCGAGAGGAAGACGAGGACCGGGACCGAGACCGTGAACTCCGTGAACTGGAAGACTCACTTTTGTCTTTCTCCCTTTCCTTTCTTTCACGCTCACGTTCCTTCGCGGCCCGTTCTTCCTCTCTCCTCTTTCTCGTTTCCTCTGCTTCTCTGGCCTCCCTTTCCTTGCGTTCCGCTTCCTCTCTCTTGCGCCATTCTTCCAAATCCTGTGCTGTGATCTGCTCTTCGCTGGACTCCTCCTCTTCCAACTCCTCCTTCCACTTCGGCTTGCCGCTCTCCTTCTGGGCTTTTGCTCTTGGAGCAAGCACCTGACAGGGAACAAACTGCACCACACCCACATCCGGGCCGGCAACACTTGCTTACAACAACGAAATACCAAAATTAACTGCAACTCACGCAGCATTGGGTGCCTCCTTCTTTCGCTTGCCCAGCATGCCCCAGCCGCAACTCAATGAGGCAGCTCCATGCAGCAAACGCCGAGGAACATCTCTTGCAAGTTTCAAGCTGCGATGCTGTCACGTGTTTGCCGAGGCTCTTGTTTTGCTCTTTGTCATATGGTGGCTGTACCATTCCTTTCCTGATGATAACTTGGATTGCTGGCCACATGTTGTTTTATTCGGGCCCTGCACAAGCACTAAAATGGCCCGACTCTCAGTAAACACCATGCAAACGCCGGTTGGAATGCCACGAAAGCTGCACGGTAGCCTTGTAAGGAAAGCAAGATCACAAAGCCGGGAGATGTGACCTGTGTGACAGACTGTTTCTCGCCTCGCCGCTCCAACTTTATCCAGTCCTTTCCTATTGCCCAGACCCAGGGTTGTGCAGCTCCCTGGGTGTGGGCCTGGGTGGAGGTGGGTCAGGGGTGGGTAAACTGAACGGGCCACTCGTAAAGAGTCTTATGGTAGCCTTGAAATCAGAACGTCCCAAAACCAAAGTTGCGAGTATGAAAGTACCGTGTGTTAATCTGCGAGGATGGGGGAATTGTTGGCTGTCAACAGGATCAGCTCCAAAGACTAACAAATCAGAAAACAGCAGTGCCGATTGGCTTCACACTCGTAGGCGTTGGCTACTTGTATTAGCGCGTCTAGTGTTTCTCCCGCTGCCCTTGCTCAATGCGCAGCCCTGTGTTGTAAATCTGCCACGCGAAAATACCATGACACTGGAAATCAATCATTGCTTCTTTGATTGTGCCTGGGTCGATCCTTCAGAATCACCATGGGCCCAAAAATCAACACCCTCAGCACGTCCGTTCGCATGTTTCTAAGTTCAGAGCGAGCAAACAATCGTACTCTCAGCTTGTTGGCGCGTCCTGCCACAAGACGTGCCCAGTCATGAAGGAAACGAGGGGGCTCTGCGGACCAAAGGAATGTCCACCGAAAAGAACAAATGAGAATCGGCAATTTGCCTCACAAACGCAATGTATCAAGAATAAGCAAAGCGAAACACGACTCGCTTCCTTGGGCTGCTGGTCTTATTGAGCCAGCAATCGTTGACTTTGGTCCTGTCTCCTCGCAAGAAGCAAGGCATTCGATTTGCTTATTCCAAGCATTCGGGTGCTTGCGCTTCGGAGGGCAACCGTCCAAAGTGGTCTTCATAGTGTCAGCCTATCTGGATCGGGCCAAGTCCCAGTTGCCAAGCCAGGGCGAGCTGAGCAGAGCGATGTCAGCGTGTTCAGTAGTCCGTTCGCTAGGGGAAGTCACAACAAAATTGAAGAACCCCCGCTCCGCTATCCATGTACAAATCAGAGGGGGGAGCCAAACGTCTGTGGCTTCGTCCTCCGACAGAATGCCTCTGGAATCAGCCGCAGGGGGCATTTGAGGAAGACCCACATTTACCCCACCATAGCATGTGGAGCCAAGGTTTCTCAAGAGTACTTCGCTGCACTGGCAGAAGTGTTCCAACGTCCCACTGCATGATCTCAACTATTTGGACTAGGTCTTTGCTTCAGTTCCCTACCTGTCCTGCTCAGCTGCTGCTCTCCCGTGCCAACGCGACTAACGGTCAAGCTGCCAATCACCACCTCCTCATGGCTTTCGGCTCTCAGCCCGAGGGTCGTCCGCGGTTGCTCTAGCGTAAGCGGGGCTTGGGGCAAGGGCTCAGGTGCTTCTTTGGGCTCATGCTTGTATGATCTTGTATGATCTTGTATGATCTTGTATGATCTTGTATGATCTTGTATGATCTTGTATGTTTGCTTGCTTGCTGCTTACTTGCGAGCTGGCGTGCATTCAACGGATCAGGAAGTCGGAGGTGCAGCCCTTCAATGTGCTCATGACCGGGAGGGCAAATGCAGGCTGGTCAGCCCAGCCCGAAAATTCGACGAACTCATCAACTCAGGCCACAACCACTCTTGAACAATACGGCAGACGCGCCTTGCTGGGCAACACTCCATTGATAAACTGACACTCCAGCAATACGCTTCCTGATTTGTACCTCCCTCTGTTGTCGACTTTTCGCCGCTCCCCTCGTAGAACAATTCAAGATGCGCAACTTGTCTGAGAGTCATGTGGGGACCTGTACAGTCTCACCTCATCAATCAGCAAATCGCACTCTCAAAGAGCCTTGACTTTCGACGTGCACCTGCAACTTGCCGGTTTCTCTCCTGGACGATTTGCTTTGCTGCCCTTCCAGACGCATTGCCCCGTTTGTCGAGAAAGTCGTGGGGTCCTTGAAAGTGCGAAGCAAGGCCTCGTGCGTGCCTGGTCCCATGTCTGGACCTGATGAATATTGGCCTTGAAGCGCAATGCGGCAGGATTGCAAGGCCAACAAAGAAGCCAGCCAAACTGCTGAACTTTGAAGCAAACTCTATTCGCTCCAAGCTCGGCCTTCTGATCAGCCATCCTATGGAATGGGCAGTCTCTTGCTACTACCTGGATGAGCTACATATCGCAGATCGCCCTATGGCAACAGCCTTTGCATGAGTGTCTTGATTTCCGGCCCATTCGAAAGAGGGTGATTGCATCGAGGCACGGCTGGAGAGCGGATATTGGCGGAGAAGCATGCAATTGCCGCGGGGCAAAAGCACTGACCGATCGCAGCCTTGCTTGCTCCTGCGACATTAAACAAACTCATGGGACCCCATCATTCCTGCTCAACTGCCATCGGCAGGCATGGCCAAAGCAACTTGACTATGAATGATGACATGGCAAACTTTCAATTCACGCAATGGGATTTCCGCCAGCCTCACTCTTTTTGTGTAACTGAATGTCTCGATGCACACGACTCGAGCTGGTTGACCTAGATTGTCCGGGGTAACATGCTGAGAGCACAAGCTCCCAAGAAATCTTCTGGATCACTCTTGGGGCGAACTGGGCTCTTCAAAATAGGGTTTGGCCAATCCTTATCTGGGAGTGGAGTGGTGGGGAGAAGATAGGCATTCCTTTCCTTTCAACTAAACATGTGCTAAGAGGATAGAGGCTCGGAAAGCTCACCTGATACAAATCATTTACTAGTAACCATTACATGCTGATGGGCCGTCCTCTCTCCCTTCCTCTCGGCTATTGGCAAACCACTGCAAAGGGAATCCCTTGCATAACCCAAAGCAAGGATCAAGGATTGCCTTTGTAAAACCAAGGCAACTGCTCGGATCAAGCTGAAAGCCGGCCATCAAACCGGAATCGTCCGTCGACGGCACGCAGCTCCAGCGATGCTTCAAAAACGCTCAACTGAAACCTGCCAGCATCTTTAAGACGCCGCAGGTTTACACATCTGCGTTGCAAGAGTATTCGCAAAAACGGGTGAAATATGGGTGAGTAACACGTCGGATTCTTGAAGGAAGTAACATGACCCCACCATCCGCCCCTTTTTGAGGACTCGCCAATCTGCTTAGAGCGACTCCTCTCTGGTAAAGATAAGGAGAGATGCTCAGCGCCATGGGGCTTTTTCTAGCAGCCCTCAGATGACTCAGAAGCGATTGGTCTTCAGACATCGCCGCTTTGCTCGCCAGGCACTTTTGACAAATTCAATTAATCCTCTCAAGGGAAAATGTACCCCTTTTGCAGTTGCAAACAGCCGACTCTTGCGAGCAGAGGGAGGCGCCTGAGAATCTGCGAGGCAGAAGACCTCGATTGAAACACTTCAAAAAATAACGATTCTGTTGGACCGCATTGCCGTAGGAGCGCTTGAGGAATGCTTCAAGATATACAAGGCTGAGTGCAACAAACTTGCTCTGGATTGGTGAGGCGCAACTTTTAGTCTTAGTCTGTTACGCGTGTCCGCCTAAGCCGAACCTTTGGCCGATTCAGTCCAACCTGCTAATTAGGATATTTCCGGAGGCGCCGGCACCACCGTTCCTCAGTCCCATTCACGCGCCTGAGCTCTACTGCAGAGATGAGGCTGTCCGGGTCTTCTGCAGCTGCCTCCCGCGGCTCATGCTCAGAAAACAAAAAACACGGGAACCGCTTTTGAGGGTCCTCTCCGAATATGTCGAAAACACACCCATCTGGAAACACGTGGGTTGAACACAAAGTGGACACCTGTTCTAACCTTACACTATCCTTTGTCCCCGCTATCGGCTTGGAGTTTGACGCTTCTCCAAGTCCCGCTCGGGATTTTGCTTCTGTTTCAGAAGCCGGCTTCAGAAGCCGGCTTCGGCAGTTCTCTTTGACAATTAAAACGGGCACTACTTTGCCAGCTCCAGCTCTTGTCGGTGCAAATGGGGCGCAAACTCGAAAGTGGCAAATGGTTAGTACCGGCGGGGTACACGAAGTGCAGTTTGGCAGCTCCAAATCGAAAGTCGCGCCCTGACAAATACGCTTTGACAGCTCCAGCCCGAGAGTCGCAACTTGTCAGCACAAGTGCCATACAGGAAGTACACTGGCGCATGAACGCCAATGGGTTGGCTTGGCTACGTCTGACTCCGCAATCTTCATGGCTTCTACGCATATCGAACTGCCTCCTTTCCAATGGCTTTACATCGTTCCAGGTTGGAGAGCAAGTGAAGGGACGGGCCCTAACAGAATAAAATTGCATAACAGTTGTCTGACGTGAAACACACCGCCCAGTTTGCCCAAGCTGAGGAGGCAGCAAACTAAGGCATCCGAGCCCACCCACATGACACACACACACACGGCAAATTTTAAATCCAAAACGATCAGCGCTCTGAAGTCCGGAGTTACTCACAACATGGCACGGAAACGGACGTGCCTTGAGGAACCTGTTTATCCTGTTCACGTGCCGGTCATGCAGACGGCGATCTGGGGGGCCATGCACACCGATAGGCATACCCTCCTCACGCACGGCTCACGACAGCTCGCATTGGCTTCAACACTTATCGGTGGATTGACCAACAATCCATCAGCCCCATACAAAGTCAACACCCGTTGAAGCATCCTCTCCACCTCAAGTGAAGCTCTTCTTTCTACACTGGCCCATCTCACTTCCATAGGCGAAACGACTTGGAGCCATGGCAAGGAAGCATAAGACAAGCAGTCGACACAGGTGGAATAAACACTTGCCTTTACTCTTTGGATTTCAGTACCCTTTCACGGGTGCTGCAAGGT